CCTAAGGGAATGAGCTGCCAGAGGAATTGATGTAGGCTGGTACAATTACACCATTTAAAATGCATCTGGATGGGTACATAAATAGGAAGGGGTTGGAGGGATATGGGGCAAATGCTCTCAAATGGGACTAGATTAATTTAGGATATCTGGCCAGCATGCACAAGTTGGATCATAAGAACATAAGAACTAGGAGCAGGAGTAGGCCATCCGGCCCCTCGAGCCTGCCCTGCCATTGAATAAGATCATGGCTGATCTTTTTGAGACTCAGCTCCACTTACCCGCCCGCTAACCATAACCCTTAATTCCTTTACTGTTCAAAAATTTATCTAGCCTTGCCTTAAAAACATTCAGCGAGGTAGCTTCAACCGCTTCACTGGGCAGGGAGTTCCACAGATTCACAATCCTTTGGGTGAAGAAGTTTCTCCTGACCTCAGTCCGACATCTGCTTTGCTTTATTTTGAGGCTATGCCCCCTAGTCCTAGTTTCACCTGCTAGTGGAAACAACGTCCCTGCCTCCACCCTGTCTATTCCCTTCATAATCTTATATGTTTCTATAAGAGCTCCCCTCATTCTTCTGAATTCCAATGAGTATAATCCCAGCCTACTCAGTCTCTCCTCATAATCCAACCCTCTCAACTCTGGAATCAACTGAGTGAATCTCCTCTGCACCCCCTCCAGTGCTAGTATATCCCTTCTCAAGTAAGGAGACCAAAACTGCACACAGTACTCCAGGTGTGGCCTCACCAGGATCCTATACAGCTGCAGCATAGCCTCCCTGTTTTTAAACTCCATCCCTCTAGCAATGACAAACAAAATTCCATTTGCCTTTTTAATTGCACCTGCAATCCTACTTTTAGTGATTCATGCACAAGGACACCCAAGTCCCTCTGTACAGCAGCATGCTGCAATTTTTTACCATTTAAAACATAGTCCATTTTGCTGTTATTCCTACCAAAATGGATGACGTCACACTTATCAACATTGTACTCCATCTGCCAGACCTTTGCCCACTCACTTAGACTATCTATATCCCTCTGCAGACTTTCAGTGTCTTCTGCACACTTTGCTCTACCACTCATCTTAGCGTCATCTGAAAATTTTGACACACCACACTTTGTCCCCAATGCCATATCATCTATGTAAATTGTAAACAATTGCGGTCCCAACACTGATCTCTGAGGCACACCACTAGCCACTGACCGCCAACCAGAAAAACACCCATTTACCCCTATTCTTTGCTTTCTACTGGTCAACCAATCCTCTATCCATGCCAATACATTACCTGTAATACCGTGCAACTTTATCTTATGAAGCAGCCTTTGGTGTGGCACCTTGTCAAATGCCTTCTGGAAATCCAGATACACTACATCCACAGGTTCCCCATTGTCCACCATGCAAGTAATGTCCTCAAAGAATTTCACCAAATTAGTTAAACATGACCTACCCTTCATGAACCCATGCTGGGTGTTCTCAATGGGACAATTTGTATCTAGATGTCTTGCTATTTCTTCCTTAATGATAGATTCAAGCATTTTCCCACGACCGAAGTTAAGCTAACTGGCCTATAGTTACCTGCTTTTTGTCTACTTCCTTTTTTAAACAGTGGCGTCACATTGGCTGTTTTCCAATCTGTGGGAACCACCCCAGAGTCCAGTGAATTTTGGTAAATAATTACTAGTGCATTTTCTATTTCCCCCATCACCCCTTTTAGTACCCTGGGATGCATCTCATCAGGGCCAGGAGACTTGTCTACCTTTAGCCCCATTAGCTTGCCCAGCACTGCCTCCTTAGTGGTAATGATAGTTTCTAGGTCCTCACCTGCTATAACATTCTTGCCATCAATTTTCGTCATGTTATTTGTGTCTCCCACTGTGAAGACCGACACAAAATAACTGTTTAATGCCTAAGCTATTTCCTCATTCCCAGTTATTAAATTGGCCTTCTCATCCTCTAAAGGACCAATGTTTACCTTCTCCACTCTTTTACGATTTGCATATTTATAGAAACTTTTGCTGCCTGTTTTTATATTCTGAGCTAGTTTACTCTCATAATCTATCTTACTTTTCTTTATAACTGTTTTTGTGGCTTTCTGTTGGCTTTTAAAGATTTCCCAGTCTGCTAGTTTCCCACTAAGCTTTGCTTTTTTGTATGTGTCTTTTGTTTCAATCTGATACTTTCCTTTATTTCTTTAGACATCCAAGGCTGACTATCTCTTTTCCTATAGTTCTTCCTTATCACTGGAATATACTTCTGCTGAGCACTGTGAAAAATCGTTTTGAAAGTCCTCCACTGTTCCTCAATTGACCCACCATAAATTTTTTGCTCCCATTCTACCTTAGCTAACTCCTCCCTCATCCTATCATAGTCTCCTTTGTTTAAGCACAGGACATTGGTACTGGATTTAACCTTCTCACTCTCCATCTGTATTTTAAATTCGACCATCCTGTGATCGCTCCTTCCAAGAGGATCCCTAACTGTGAGATCATTAATTATTCCTGTCTCATTACACAGGACTAGATCTAGGATAGCTTGCTCCCTCGTAGGTTCCATTACATATTGTTCAAGGAAATTATCGCGGATGCATTCTATGAACACCTCCTCAAGGCTGCCATGACCGACCTGGTTTGACCAATCGATATGTAGATTAAAATCCCCCATGATAATTGCTGTACCATTTTTACGTGCATTAGCTATTTCTATGTTTAATGCCCACCCGACCACGATGTCATTATTTGGTGGCCTATAGACCACACCTATCAGTGTCTTCTTCTCCCTGCTATTCCTCATTTGGCCACCCAAATGGATTTAACCTTTTGTTCAGTAGAACCTATTCCATCTCTCACTACCGCCCTGATATCATCCTTAAAAATCAGAGCGACACCACCTCCCTTACCTTCCTGTCTGTCCTTCCAAACAGTTTGATACCCCTGGATATTTAACTCCCAGTCATGACCATCCTGCAACCATGTCTCTGTAATGGCCACTAAATCATACCCATTTGCCATGATTTGCACCGTCAACTCATCCACCTTGTTTCAAATGCTCAGAGCTTTCAGATAAAGTGCCCTTATGCCAGTTTTTGCACCTTCTTTTTGAGTTCTGTCACCTCCATTACTAACAGCTCTTGAGTTCTCCTTGCCTTTAACTTTTTTCCTAATTTTCAATGGAGTTGAAGCTTCCTCGTCACCTGCTAACCTGCTGCTTTGCCTTCCATTAATTGTTATACTCCCTGTATGCTCACTCCTCCCTTCCCCCCTACTTAGGGTCTGTTTCCGTGCTGTACAACTCTGACTCTAGGAACTCACTTGCCCAGCAACAGCTTTATCCTCACCCTTGGTGATTTTGGATTTGTCTTTGTTTTTACATGACCAATAAATATTGAAAAATATTAAGCAGACATGCTGCATACCTCAGAACACACAGTTATACATGTTCCACAGACCATGTTTAGTTTTGTATTTAACATGACATGATTAGGATAGTAATGTTGTTGCACATTTCTATTTACAGCTGCCTCTTGTTTAATAGGGTGATGATTCCTTCTCTAGTTTATTCCTTTTTGTTCAGCTGCCATATACTCACTGAGATCACAGAGGCCTATGCTACAGATAGGACAATTCAGCAGGGATCATTTGAGAAAGTAACAACCTCCTGCTGAACTTGCCTTAGGGAAATGGCTAACGTGCAATGACTGCAGAAACTGCGTCAGTATTTATAAACATTGTGGTTGCTTCTAACGAGACAGGAAGTCCAGCTTTGTATTTTGTATTCACAAGCAAAGTTAGCTGTATTCATGCTAAACTGCATTTCACTTCTTGATCCATGAGCTGTACATCCAAACCAACTGATATAACCAAAATTCAACAATCCTGAGAAGTCTTCACTTGTCCATTTAGCCAGCCTGTTGTTGTATAAAAGCAAAGAAGCAATTTACAAAGATATCAAATGAGCTTGAATTTTTTAAACCTACAACAATAAGCGATATTCCACAGGTAAAGATGGACAGTACAGCTGTCCATTGCCTCTGTGCATTAATTCTTCTGAAGTGAGTAATTTTATAGCAGGGCTTGTTTAGAATTATATGTGGAAATTTGAAAAGATTTAGTTGTCTTTTCACTGTGTGTTTACCTCATAGAAAAATTCGAATGCATTATCTACTGAACTTAAGCCTGCAGGATGTACTTTAAGGTTTGAAAATAACTTGAAGTGTGCTAACTATATCAAGCTAAAAAAAAACTGTCAATTGTAAGCATTTAATGTTTGCAGTGATACCATATAAAACAGGACACCATGCTTACAAAAGATTTGTTGGGCTACATGTCAGGATACTGAATGCTGGAAGGGTATTTGTGCACATACAGTTCCTTTTGTTTCATGCTGAAGTCAGCAAGCTCTGAAAATGAGTGCTGGGCTGGAGTAATCACTGAAGGACAGTTTCTAGGATCCTTGATTATAAAGTAACCAAAGTAAATTCCGATTGTGCCTCATCTTTTTATACAGCATTTCCTGAGGAAAAGCTAAGATGTGATTTTTGTTTGTGTGAATTCCCCCTTGAGTATTCCTTTGATGTGCTTTGGCAAATGGCTGTCTTCTATTTGCGATCAAAAATACGAGGTTTTAGGTTTCACGAACAAATAATGTCTGTTAACTTGGACAGAGATTTTAAATAAGTTCGTGTCTTTTCTACTGTCTTTCCTTTTTAAATCACATTGAAACCCATCCTGTCACCACTCCAAGTCTGTACTTTGCTGTGCAGGCATACAGATGTGTTTTCCATACCCATGCTGTTCAAACATATTGGAACATTTTTTACATTGAAGCAGTGATATAAATGAAAGTTATTTTTGTATTGATTGGCAATCTGAGATGTTGATCATTGATTGGTTAAAGTTGCGATGAATCAAAAATGAGTAAGTGCAGATCATTTGCGTTAACTTGTCGGAGTTTGACTTTGAACAAAGTAATTGAGCTGCTCCTCTTGCAATTGTGTTCTTGTCTAGGATGAATCTACAGGAGAGATTACCTTCTACATGAAAGGGGCTGATGTGGTCATGATGGGAATTGTTCAGTATAACGATTGGCTTGAAGAAGAGGTATGTCATAGAACATAGAACAGTATAGCACAGTACAGGCCCTTCGGCCCACCATGTTGTGCCGAACTTCTACCCTAATCCTAAGGTCTATCTAACCTCCACCCCTACCTTATACTATCATCCATATGCCTATCTCGTAGCCGCTTAAATGCCCCGAATGAGGCCATGCGCTGCATTTATTTGTTCATTCATTCATTCAAAAGACCAGGCCCTCCAATGGCTGCATCCCTTTGTATCTGAGCACAAATATCCTCTAGTACATTTTAAAAAATCAATAAAACATGGCCATTGTAGATGCTGTCTTAATTTTCATTATTTACAAATGCAGGCTGCTAATCTTGCAGCCGTGATCTTAAAACGCTACACTTGATGAGAATAGGATAGCTAGGAGATTACCTCCAGGTTCCCACTGCTCACACCCATTGGCCCCTCACTTCCTGCTGTCTGGAGGCAGTAGAGGCACTGACTGCAGTCAGCTATGGAGCTCAGAAATAGGCAAAAGATAGGATATCACGGCAGCTCAAGTTTATGTTTGATGGCAACTCTTTCCACCAGAAACAGATGACCAATGATATCTTTTAACTTGGACAGAGTTTTAAATAAGGTCATGACTTTCTCCTCCTTCCGGAACTCTGTAGTCTGTTTCACTTTTTAAATCATCTTGAACCCATCCTGTCATTCACCCATACTTTGCTGTGCAGGCATGTGTTTTCCATCGACATGCTGTTGAAGCATGTTTGAACATTCTTTACAATGAAGCAGTGATATAAATGATTACTTATTTATTGGCATTATTTACAAGGATTAATTTTTTTCTTTGTTGGAAGACGGGAATACAGGAGCACCTTTTGTGTCCTACAAGAAGATCTTTGTTTCCAGCCCATGCCACAAGCCTTGTTTCTCCATCCCATGTTTGCAGTTCTGACCAGACAGAACTTTACTTAATTCATGCTGAGGACTATTATCTTGAGTTCTAGCAGCTGCTAATCACTACTCAGAATCTATCGCCTGTCCATTGGCTAACAGTCTCCACTAGATCAAGGTGGCAGACTCACAGTCCAACACATAAGAAAGCATGAGTCTAAAAATTCACCAGCCTCCCGCTTAGTGAGGAGCAAAAGATATTTTTGGAATGAGCACTGAGCGCAGAATCATGATTTTTACCACTTAGGGTTTGGAAAGAGCTAGTGAAGCAAGAGCAAAACTTCAGCAATTTAATTCTTGCTTGCACTGAATCATACTCCTCTATAGTATTATTTTGAAGTAGATGCAATTATAATTTATTCATTTATTTTATTTATGCTAGAATAAATATAGATGAGGTGATGCACCTGGGCAATAAATAATTAGAGGCCATAGGATATATCAGTTGCCTCAAAATAAAGTACACATTATTTTAATAGGATGTTTTATTAGGAATTGCTTGCCATGTGTGGTTATAAACTTATCAGTCAGAAATCTAATTAACATAAACCGTCTGATTTATTTCTGATATTCTGATTGCTGTTTGATTACAGTGTGGGAACATGGCTAGAGAAGGACTTCGAGTTCTGGTTGTTGCCAAAAAGTCTTTGACAGAAGAGCAGTACCAGGATTTTGAGGTAACTAAATCTCTAGTTGCATATGCATTTCATCAAAACATTCCCTGAAAACCTAGCAATTTAAGAGCTATACTACCTGTCCTGAGGTAGGTAGAGGAGAAAACAATCAACCAATTTTTCAACTCAGTGTTTTCTTAGAGGCATTGCGGGCAATGTAGAAATGTGAAGCTGAGGGTCAATGATGGCTTGACTATAATGCTTCCTACACTGTTACGCACGGTCAAGACTCGGATAATTATGGCCAGAACTGTTCTGAGGGTGGGCGAATTGGCATAATCACCCCAGGCCTTGTATGGGCCCATTGGCACCTAGGACAAACCAGAAGCCAGGACCAAGGTGACCTTTGAATAGGAGAGATTTCACTGTGTAACCCTTCGTTTTGTTTCCGGTTTAGTTTGAACGCGACAAGGTGTCATTAATGCAAAGGAATTTCAAAATCATTTGAACTCCATTATAGTTAAACAAAGAAATAAAAGGGGATATGTATCAGATAGAGGTGTTGAATGATAATCACAAACTTGCAAACTCTGAGACCTTCATTCAGAAAAGCTGGACAACCTTAGCAAGGTGATTGCTGCACAGTCAGCTTTATCCCAGGTGAGGAGATACCCGACACGGTATGATTTGACTGGGGATTTGCAACCCTTAGAGATGACCATTTAGTAAGTTACCAGCAGGCACAAGTGGAAATTTGGTATGTCAAGGGACAAACATTTTGGAAGAAAACCAAATAGCTTTTCTTTTCAGACTACTGTAACTTTCTCTCGTTCATTAGACTAAGTTGTGGCAAAATTACCTGGTAAGAATATTGTGGACTAGAATGAATGAATTTTAAAGAAGTGTCTCTTCTTCAGACTCGTTACAATCAAGCAAAACTAAGTGTACATGATCGGTCATTGAAAGTGGCAACTGTGATTGAGAGTTTGGAGATGGAAATGGAGCTTCTTTGCCTGACTGGTGTGGAGGACCAGCTGCAAGTTGATGTCAGGCCTACCTTAGAGATGCTGAGAAATGCTGGGATAAAGGTAAGAACCCAGTGGAAAAGAGCCAAGGCTCTGCCATGGCTGACTTTAAAAAAAGTGACTAATTTAGACTGTAATTCTGAAACCTTACTTGTAGTTGCATTAAACATGTTTGTTTTTGGTCAGTAGAGGCCAAAACGAGGGTGCAGGGAAGAAAATGACCACAATGGCTTCAGGGCTGAGGGGTTGCATGTGGATGGACTGGAGAAACTGGGGTTGCTCTCCTGAGAGCAAAGAAGTGTTCAAAATCATGGGAGCCTAGAGTGGAAAGATAGAGAAGAAACTATTTCCTTTGACAGAACAGTTGATAACCACAGCACACAGATTCGAGATGATTATCAAAAGAACCAAAGATGATCTGAGGAAAATCATTTTTACATAGTGATCTGGAGCATCATGCCAGAAAGGATGACGGCGGAAAATCCCATCGAATCTTTCAAAAGGGAATTAGCTAGTATGTGAAATAAAACTTGGCACAGCAACAGCTAAAGAGCAATACAGTAGTACTAGCTGAATTGCTCATGTGTAGAGCTGGTGTGTCCTTGGTGGACTGCTGCAGTCTTTCTATAATTTAAAAGTAAAGGGTTAAAGTTGAAGTTATGCTGCAGTCTGGAATCTCAAATTAGCCTGAGACTGCCTTCTGGGTGAAGCTTTACTTGTGACTTCAGTATGCTTGGTATTTTCTTAGTTTATTGCCTCTTTTATATTAAGGCATGGAATGGTTACATCACAGACAGACTGTTTGGCCCATTGTTTTAATGCTGGCCCCCAGCAAGAGCAACCCAGCCAGTCTCACTCCCTGCCTCTTTCCTATAGCACCGCAATTTGTTTTGTGTTCAAATCATTATCAGTCCGGTTTTCCCTCCCAATTTTGTATTCCAATTTACATTCTATGCCATTTTACATCATTGCGGACATTGCTTATAGTGCTAGTTATTTTGTTACGGCTTCTTCTAGGTATGGATGCTCACTGGGGACAAACTTGAAACAGCAACTTGCACAGCAAAAAATGCACATCTAGTAACCAGGAACCAAGATATTCACATCTTCCGAACTGTAAGTGTTTCCACCATGATTTGTTTGTCACTGCCACCACTGGATGCCCATTTATTTGCATGCCACTAAGTTCTTCATCTTAAATATCAGGAGCACCTTTCAAACTGATTGTGCTTTCTTCTAGTAAATGCATTTTCAAATGTTGGAGGGGATAAAGGATGATTCTAAACTCCTTGACTTCTGAAACTCCGTGACTTCTGAAGATGTGATCCGTCGCAATGTATCTATCTATAGAAAATGATAGCTACCACTGATCCATTGCCCAATTGATCATACTTTATCTGTGAACCAAACTGTGTCTGATAATTCAAAGGGCAAAATATTATTATTTGTCCTGTCCGTAGGATTCAATAGACAGCAATCATAGGCTGATTTTTCTTGCAGCATCTATCCTTTTCCTCCATTGCCATCTAAAGAGTTATGAAGACAAATTGTCCCTCGCTGTTGCCATGTCTGAAAAATTAAGTCCGTTCATTTGAACCCAAAGATTGTAGAATCCAGTTTCACTCCATTGTGTAATTGCAGCTATACTTCAGTCAGCACTGAAAATGAGTTACTTTTCAACAATTACCTCCAATTAGTTGAGATGACGGTGGCCTCAATCAAGAAATGAGTGATGCAATGACCCATTGAGCCACCAACACAGAGCTCACTGTTCAAATAGAATGTTTTTTTTTAAGTGCAACCATCTTGCTTGGAGCAAGGCAAAAAAAACCTCAATGTTACTCACAATTCTCATTTTAAGGTTCTAACATTTTTTAAGCATTGAGCTCTGTCACCTCTTTTTATTTTGCTACTAATATTACAGAGAAGAAACTGGCCAATGGCTCTTGAAAAGAAGTTAATTCCTTTTTCTTTCCTGTTTGTTCCCAATAATACTTTGCAGTTTGTTACTTGAACTGAATTGTAATCTCATGTTAATAAGAGAACATTAGCTGTCTTCAGGGAAACAATGTTGCAACAAGGTCGAAACATGGTCTGTCAGTTATGTGCTAAGTAGTTGGCTTGACTTTTGGCCACTCTGTGTAGATGTTGACAATCGACATGCATATATTGCATCACAAACATAAGTATTTAATGATAAAGATTTAACTGTGTTTCCCATATATGTTTTTTGTTCTTATCAATTCTCTATCTTGGCAATCTTTTTCTGAAGGTATTAATTCCTGCCAGAATACAGTTCTAACTATCTTTTATTATTGTCATCAAAATTAGTTTATCATGCTTGTGTCTTGACTGCAAGTGTTTCAGACATTAGTCTGTTACTAATGCATTTATTTTCAGATAACGAATCGAGGAGAGGCTCACTTAGAGCTTAACGCTTTCAGAAGGAAACACGATTGTGCATTGGTCATATCTGGTGACTCACTGGAGGTGAATATTTGGGCCATTTTTGTTTAACTGTTCAGGATTATGCCAGCATTGGTCATATTTATTTGTGAGCCATTGATTATGGTGAGTCAATATTTTTTGCTCAGTTTTCTTCTTTTTAGCTCCTTTTCGCTGGAAGGAGACCTCTTGCTGGTAATGTGAATTTATAGGTGCTGGTAGTCTTTCTGTACCTTAAAAAAAAACGTTGTTTCTAATGTTTGAGTATGGACATTGCAATGCATTGTGGTACTATTCCCTCCTAAGCACACAAGTTGAGGTTGCTTTTCTTCAGTCCTGCTTGATTCCACCAATGTTAAGTGCTTAGCATTAAGACATCTAATCAGACAGATATATTCAAGATCAACGGGGAACTGGGCAGTGTATGGAATTTCAATCTGAGAGCCTGGTAAAAGGATTGCTTTGAAGTTTTCATCTTATTTCACTATAATGAGGTTTCTACCAGTCAGTCACAGATATGTTGGGGAAAGTCCTTTATTCATTCACAGGATGAGGGCCTTGCTTGCTAGGCAGCATTTATTGTCCATCCCTAATTGCAGTTAAAAGACAACCACATTGCTGTGGGTCTGGAGTCACATGTAGGCCAGACCAGGTAAGGATGGCAGTTTCCTTCCCTAAAGGATGTTACTAAACCAGATGGGTTTTTCCTGACAATCGACAATGGATTCGCAGTCATCATTAGATTCTTAATTCTAGATATTTATTGAATTCAAATTCCACCACCTGCCATGACGGGATTTGAACCCAGGTCCCCAGAACATTATCTGGGTCTTTGGATTAACAGTCCAGCGAAAATAGCACTAGGCCATTGCCTAATCCTTAAGTGGTTATATTTTGATGGTGCAGCCTCTATTCATTGTGCGACAAGAGGAAGAGAGAATGTGTCAAGGTGTCCTATAGCAGTATAATAACATAATTTGTTTGCACATGCTGAGGATGTAGTAGTCTTGAACTTTTTGAAGTCAAGCTATGTCCCACAGTTTGAGGAGCATGGATATCAACCAGAGCACCAGGGAATGCGGCCAGTTTGTTGGTGCACCGTTGTTACTTCATCAAAATGTGCAAAATAGTTTGGCCATGGGAAGCTTTAACGTGAAGTAAGGTGGGAACTGTGTTTGGCTGTGCAATTCGTGAAGGTCTTTGATATAAAATTGGGCTGTTCATTAGGGATGATGTCATTGTGATTATGACTGGCTCAATTTTTTTGAGGAAGTCCTATTGATTTGCTTAGAAAAGAGCTGTGTATTCAACCGCTACTCTGCGTACAATCTAAAATATGTTGAATATGTTACAATTGGGATCACCTCCCTTATTTTCGTTCTGTTGTAGGTGTGCCTGAAGTTTTATGAGTATGAGTTCATGGAGCTGGCCTGTCAGTGCCCTGCTGTAGTATGCTGTCGATGTGCTCCTACACAAAAAGCACAAATTATACGCCTGTTGCAGCAGAGGACTCGGAAATTAACATGTGCAGTAGGTGAGAAGCCACAAACCTCCTTGCATCATTGTTGTTTTCCACTGTAAGCGTTATGTTTAGACAGTGAATGTCGAAACCACTGAAAAGAACACTGTTGCATTGAGTTCATTCTCTTTCTCTTGTTTTCTTTCTTGATTTCTTTCTCCTGCTCTCTTTCTCTCATTCTTCCTGTCACTTTCTGTGTTTTATTATACATCGTGCTGTGGTCTGTGACTAGTTATATGGCCTAGTCATCTACAACTAAGCTCATTCTGTAACTCAACGTATCTGTAACTGTACGCCCTATTTCATGGATTAGTTTCAGTCAACTGTATTGTATTAAGATCCCACACAACCCACAGTAAATTATTGTATGAAAAATAGAAATTCGGCATTGTAAAAATTGCATTTTTGAAAAAAAAGAGCTAAGACCACAAAAAACACACCAGTACAATTCTAGTCACTGAATTACAGGATGTAAAAGGGAGATTGGAGGCAATTTATGGAGTATTGTCAGAAATGGGGAATTCTAACCATGAGGAAGGATTGAATAGGCTGGCATTGTTTTCTGAGCAATGAAGGAGGCCAAGGGGAAATGTATAACATAAGACAGTAAGAAGCATTTGTTTCTGTTAGTGTAGGGCTCAGGTACCAAGGGTGTAGATTTAAAATAATTGCCAGGAGTAATAGGAGGTACTTGAGGAGGAATGTTTTCACCCAGAAGGTGATGTGCTCTGTAAAGCTCTACCTGAAAGGCTGATTGAGGTATAAGAGTCTACATTCTTAAAAAACAAAATTGTATATGTACTTGAAATGCCGTAACCTCCAGGACATGGAATAGAGCCTGCAGATGTTCAGCTGGATTCCTTTTTCTTCGGCTGAAACAGGCACAATATGCTAACTGGCTTCCTTCTCTACAGAAATTTTTCTTTGCTTCTTTCTGATTATTACCTGATTTAATAAATTTGTCACAAAAATTTGCACTGCTTTCTTCAGTTCAAAGATGCTTGCTGAAACTAAAGTTTTAGTCCAGTGGAATTCATTAAGTTAGATCCCTTTGTACCAAGACGTTTAGAGGTGTTAATTTTCCAGATTTGTCCAAACTGCACCAGGGATTATCGTGCAGACAATTAATCCCATCATGGGAACAAAAAGAGCACTTTTACATTAAATTTGTGAATTCTAGCAACAATTAAGCACTTTCCAAGCCTGTAAATAGACATGAAGTACATGAAAAAGGATATTGATCTTTTCTTTAAAGTCACTATCTCTACAGATACTTGATAACTAATCCAACACCCACCTGGACTGGAGACCACTACCCCAGGAATTGAAGCTGGGGCCCTCGCCACCAGTAGCCCTTTGCATTAATATAACACCTTTGAACTGGGAGCACATGTAGGCCAGCAAGCGCTATTATGTTAGATGAACAGAATTCAATGTGCGTCAGGATATAGGCACCAGAGTTCTGGATGAGCTGAATTTTATGGATGGCAGCCCATGGAGCATCGAAATAGTCATGTCCAGAGATAACAAAGACATATGTTTCAGCATCAGATGAGCTGACACAAGGGCAGAGAGAGGCATGGTTAAAAGGTGGAAATAGGCAGTCTTGCTGATGGAGAGGATATGGGGTCAGAAGCTCAGCTCAGGATCAAAATAAGATGTCAAATTTGTGAACAGTCAAATTCAGCCTTAGACAGTGGTCAGAGAACAGAATGAAGTTGTCAGCTAGAGAATGGAGTGGAAGTAGCAGTAAGAAGTAATAGTTCTGGGAAATAAGTCACTGCAGGTTAGTGGAAGCAGAAGAGGCACAGTTAATATAGCTTGCTTAGAAGTGTAGGTTCCAATCTGGAACTAATAATTTTTGCTGGTTCTGAGGCGATAGCAGAGTGATGTGTGGTGTTACAAAAAAGACCTTCTATGCTTTAAGGAGAAAACCCTTGCTTAACCAATTGATCTATGTAACTCATCCCTGATCCTTTGAATCATTGTAGTGAATTTCTTCTCCAGCCTTTCTAAATCCTTGTCATTGCTTGCTAAAGTGTGGTGCCCAGATATAAACAGAATACTAGGGCAGAGGCCTAAACTGTGACTTATAACTGTTTTGCATAACTTCCTTTCTTTTGTGTTCTATGTATAAGGTCAGGTAACTACATACTCTCAAGTTTTCCTGTAATCTTCCACAATTTGTGCAGACCCATCCTCTGGTTGCTTTGTTGCTGTACTCATTTTAAAATGATACCATTTAGTTCATCCACTTCTCCTCATTCTTCCCTTGAAATGTATCGCTTCACTTTCTCTACGTTAAATTTCACCTGTCATATGTCTGCCCATTTTCCCATTCTCCCTGTGTTTTCTGGAATTCTGTTACTATTCTTGTCCTTTTTTGCTCCATTTCTGAGTTATCCATATGCAGACTTTGGGCTTGTGTTCTGTATCCCCAAGTCCAAATCATTAATGTCCCTCAAAAAGAGCAGTTGTCCTAGTAACTGACTCTTGAAAACACTACAGTATTCCTTTCTCTAGTCTGAAAAACGACTTTTCAAATTACAGGAATATGGTGATCAGTGCCTCCACAATTTCCAACCTTACAGCTTTTGACCAGCAGTGACTTTTCTACCTTGAAGACTGCCAATTTTTTAAGTACCTCTCTGCCTTCTCTGCGGATGCTGTAATTCAGAAACAAAAACAAATGTTGCTGGAAAAGCTCAGCAGGTCTGGCAGCATCTGTGAAGAGAAATCAGAGTTAATGCTTCGGGTCTGGTGACCAGAGTTTTGAGGAAGGGTCACCAGACAGGAAATGCTAACTCTGATTTCACTTCATAGATGCTGCCAGACCTGCTGAGCTTTTCCAGCAATGTCTGTTTTTGTTTCTGTGTATCCATGCTGCTGTTTTCCCTTTTTAATTACAGGGGCATTATATTTGAGAATAAACCTATTATGTGATAATTCGCTCCACTGCCTTGTGAAAGTCCATCTAAATAACATCAACTGGGTGCTACATTAAACATTCCCTGATAATTTGAATCAAGTTAGCACAACATGACGGTTCAACTTCCTCCTCCTTTAACAGCACCTTTAAAATACACAATATTCTATTATTGCCTTGGCCATGACTAATGCCCTCACGAGAGTATCTCCTCTTGATTCCTTATCTTCCCCACCCACTTTTTACTACCCCTTTACTCTTTTATCTGTATGTAAAAAACTGTTAAGTTCCCTTTTATGTCAGCAACTAATCTATTCTCTTTTTTTTATTCATCTCTTACTCCTTTCTTAGATTTTGTATGTATTTTAAGTTGTAGTATGAAGCTTATATTTGACATAAACCTCCTCTGTTTCATTTTAACCTTTTCTTTCTTTAGTTATCCTGGGAGCAATAGCTTTGATTACCCTTCCTTTCACATCACATGATCACATAATTGTCATGGTGCAGAAGGGGGCCATTTGACCTATTGTGTTTCTACTAACTGTCCATCTGAACATCATGACTTCGTGCTATTCTGCCACCCTTACCACCCCCCCCCAGCCCACCCATTTCTATTTTAATACCCATCTAGTGCATCACTTGACCCTACATTCACCACACATCCAGGCAGTGGATTTTAGACCTGAACCATTTGCTGTGTGAGAAGACTTTTTTTTCTCCTATCACATTGCCTTCTTTTGCAAACCACTTTAAATCTGTGAGACTCTCTACACAGTACTTGAAATGCCTCCTCTTTGGGGTCTCCCATTATTATCAATGTCTGCTTTGCCTTTCAATTTCTGAATCTAATCTATCTGGGCTAGATTCCCTTACAACTCACTGAGATTTTGCCTCATCTAAGACATTTAATTTTCCTTTTCCATACCATTTTGAACTCTGTTCCCCAAATGTTTTTTTTGTCTCAGATGCCACGTCAAAGCTGTCACTGAACTGAAGCAGAGTACCTTGATGGTGCATGATGAACAACACATTGGTGTCAAAAACATAGATTAAAAGAGGGAGATGCTTCTGCAGGCAGAATTTAGGGAGCCAGGTAGGAGATCAGCCAGCAGGGCTTCAATAATAATAATTTCCAGATTAGTCCTGATACTACATGCTAATGAAGATAAGAATGTGGTGATAGAGTAGATAATCTGTGGCTGGATAGACAAATTTCTGGAGTAGATGTGACACATACAGGCTGCATGGCTTGCACCTAAAGAGAACAATTTGCTTGCGTTATTGGGGAATGTTTAAATTAATTTAGCAGGATTATGATATTTAAAAGGTAATATTGAATAGGAATACCAATGCCCACAGAATACCTGGAGAGGTAAGTAGCACTAGAAAAAGAAATCATTAAAGTTGTTAGGTGAGTTTAGTGTAAAAGGGAATCTAACAGAAACTTGACACAAAGAAAAGTAAAAGTGTTTGTTAAATATTCCTGGATACAAGTTATTCAGGACAGGAGTGAAAGGGGGAGGAATGACAATATTGATTAAGGAGACATTGTAGCACTGGAGACAGAGGGTGTCCCAGAGTGGCGGAAGTCAAGGACAGAATCTGTTTGGCTGGAGCTAAGGAAAAAATGAAGTGATCAATAGGCTGCCAACTAGGGGAAAGATGTAGAATGACAAATTTGCAGAGAAATTATTACAATAGGGGACATTCTGTATCTGAGTATAGGCAGGGATAGTAGTTGTATAAAAAGTAGACAAGGACAAGAATTGTGAGAGTATGTTCAGTTGAAATTTCTGAGACATGTTTCTAGTCCAAAGAGGGAGGAGTATTGCTTTACCTGGTTCTTGGGAATGAGGTGAGTCAAGTAGATCAAATGTCAGGAGGGGAACTTCTATGAGTTATTGATCATTGTATCATAAGATTTAGGCTGGCTATGGAAAAGGACAAAGAACAAAGTAAGAATAAATAAGAGACAAAGCAACTTCAATGGTGTAAGAACAGGTCAGAGTTAAATAAACTGGAATCAAAGGATGGCAGGCAAAATTGACAGAATGATGGACTCCCTTTAAACAGGACATAGGGCAAACAA